AGAGCTCAGCCAGCAACTGCAGCACCAAACCAAAATGACTTCCCAGCCACAATGGTGCAGGGCTGCACATGCGGCCTCCCGGGGCCCTCGCTGTACCAACTGCATGGCATGACTGCAGAAACACTGCCCTGCACACACGCAGGAAAGCGCCTGTTCTTGGTAACAGTGGTTCTGTCTTTGTACAACCAAGACGTGCTCCATGACAGAAAAATCCACCCACCAAGAACCCCAGTAGGAGTCCATTAGAATAAGACAGAACCACCACCAGCAAAGAAACGTGCTTGCAAGAGACCTGAACACTTGGCATACAAAGGACACGCCGCCCTTGTATTGTGTGGACCTGCACAGTTTCTCAGTGCGTGTGACAAGCAAGTATGGAGACCCAGGTGTGAAAGATGAAGTGGCAGTGAAGAGAGCACCGTGTGCCCTGCATGTGAAGAAAAGGGTGCAGAACCACAGGTGAAAACAAAGAGAATTCAGGACATGATGAAACTGTAGCAGTAAGCTGTGTCTGGGTGCTGGGGGCAGCGACACAAGTGACACCCTGCAGCAGGGTCAAAAGCTAACACGCTCAGGCAGATCTGCCATATCCGTACCTGTGACTGAAGCAGTTGGATTTTCTAAGGTAGGTTGCTGGCTGGTTGCATTTACCAACAGCAGCAAGAGACCAGAAGAGCATGTTTCTGCTGAAAGCTGAGGCCCCTTTTTAAGGATAGTCTCACAATAAGTGCCTCAAGCAATATAGCAACTGTGGTGGAAGACAGTACTTTTTGCCTTGAAAGGAAAAAGTTAACTTTGATGGAATTAGCATAAAACTCCAAATTAGGACAGACTTCCACGGGCTCAAACTATGCAGTTGCAGGATTTTCCTCAAGGCAGCTTGTGTATTCCCAAGTCATGCATCTGTTACCCGATACTATATTATTAATGCATGTTTGCTTTTTTTTATAACCCAATATTGGTACTGGCACACAATGCAAGTTTGATGACAGAAATTATTTATCAGTTGCATAAATACTCTGAGAAAAGTAAACTGAGTATGAGAGAGAGCAAATGTATCACAGAAAAAAGAACAACTTGAATGCCATGTAAAATCTGAACACAATTTAAATAACCCTACATTTACTAAATTAGCAGTACAAGAACAGAACACACAAGTACAGAGAGAAAAGTTGTACTTTAAGTTTGTTTATTGTGATAACTTTGTTCTGAACATCAATAAACATTGCACTGAAGTGTGGGTTACTGTACCCAAGATAGTCCAGTCTTAACAAAAATCACTGTATTGGTATGATCACAGATTTGACTATTTTAAACACATGACTATTAGTGGTTGGGTTGCTTAACAATCAGGTATTCCACGTCTTCAACATAAAAATGAAACAAATGGTTCAAGAATTTTCCCACCCTCAAACCAACATTTTAACTTTCATCTGGAAGTAATTAACACCGTAAAAAAATCCAAACCAATTCCATTCTATTCAGCAGATTTTAACTTTGGAAATTAAAACTTCTTCAGGCAAAAGTGACACTTTCAAGGCATCTCAATTTCACTATGTATTTTTTATGTTTTATTATAAATTTGCATTACACTCATTTAAACAACTCTCATTCATATGACAGCATTTTCTAGAAGACTTGTATGAAATATTAAGACGAAATTTCATCTCTTCTGTCTTTACCCTAAACGGATTCAAGAGTTTGCTTCAGAAGTTCCATAACGGAGTTGACACAAGTGTTAAAACTTCTCCAGTTGAAAAAAACAAAAAAAAGTTTTAGGAGGAGTATACTGGTGATGGGAAGCTAAGGATACACGAGCCAGGATTGCACATGCAATTGTATACTGTTAGGGATGAGTGCACAACCTTTGAAGTCCAAACATGCCTGGTACAGTAAAAAAATCCCAACAAAACACCCAGAAATGTGTACCACTTGAATTCCTGATCTTTAAATCATTATAGAAATGGGTAATGTCCAAGTCACTAGCAAGTTTTGAATTGCAATGTTCCTTGTTTACTCCCAGATAGGTATCACTGACTCAGCCTTTGACAGGGTGCCAATGCTGAGGGGATCTGCATCTTCAACAACACAGTCTTAACAGGGGGATGCGTGTGCCTACAGACACATGCATGTAGAAGTTCCTCTTTCACAGAAAGAATGATTTTGCTTGTGCTCATTTTAAATAAGTATAGCACAACTTGCTCTCAAACATTAGTTTCAGGCCATTTCTCTCAATTAAGATAACAAAGGACAGGCTACTGCATAACTCCTATTTACCCCGCTTCATATTAATATTGCAGCACAAGCCTACAGTTTGATAGCAATGAGATGTCTTTTATAGAGTCAGTAAAGTGCCCAGCAGTCCAAATTACACAGGTCTGCAGTGACAGGTACAGTGCCCCATATTCTGCCCCTAAACTGGGTTAACAAGCAATCTGAAAAGCTTCAAATACAAGCCAGATTTAGAAAAAGAAAAACAAAACATCCACTCCACCCCAATCATATCAGAAATACTAAAGAACACTTTCATATTTTATCAAAAAACAAATATCAAAACTGTAGCTGTTACAGAGCAAAAAGAATATCAGAATTTTTAACTAAGCATTTTTTTGGACATCCCTATAATGCAAAATATCAGGTCAGCAGAATGAGGAGCTCTCTACAACCACACAACCCCCATATTCAGATCAGCTGAAATTATATGCATTTGGAGACACACCTGATGCTATTTTTCCTCACACTTATTTACTAATTTTTTCATTATACTCATTTACTCAAGTCCCTACCTTAAAATCCACAGCTCATCTTTATGACAATCTGAAAGGATGAATGGGACTGAAGAGAAAAAAGACCAAGTAATAAGAAAAAAAAATTAACCAAGAAAGATACGGTCAAAGCTTGGCAACAATCTGTCCTGTTTGGAAACCCATCCCAGTTTCATTAAGTGCTCTTATTTTTAGAAAAGCCATGTAATAACAGGGCCACTAAGAATAAGCTAAGCACAGTAAAGAAAACTTTGACATCCGCAAAGGACTGTTTCAGGAAAGGCAGCTTCACTCCCTTTATGTAAAATAGAATCTTTAGATAGAATATTTCATCTTGTAATTAAAATACTTTACTATGTTGGACTCTATTTATTTTAAAGTATTTAAGTGACTTAAAAGCTCAAATCCCATTGATATTCAAAGCACTTGGTGAGCATGAAAATTTCAGTTTCTAATGAAATCTATGGAATAAAAGGTAAGAAAAACAAAATGAATACACAGAATGATGTTTGTAAGCTTGTGACAGTTAAAAAAAATTAAAAAAAAAAAAGAAAAGAAAGAAAAAAAAAGCAGTATGAGCAAAATATCCTTTGAGTTGAATCCTGTGAAATCCACTTAAACACTGAGTAGATTGGTGACAGGACCAAGAAATTGCTGAAAAAGTCACAGAAAGTCTTGTTCTCATTGTACAAGAACAAGGATGCCTTTCAGATCACTGACATGCATGGCACACTGTGACAGATGATAGGTGTGTTTTCTTTCCCAGTCTCATACTCCTGCTTTGAAAAAGGGGTTCCCTGTTGATTTTGCTTGCCTCCACTCTTCAGTTAATGTTTTATAAGCACAAGAATACACTAGAGTTTTAAAAGGGGGGGGAGGGAGGTAATTTCATTTATATAGTGATCTAAAAACGATCCCCCCAAGCAGTTCACCAACTATCTAGCTGGTGTTACATCAGAACTGTGGGTTAAGACTACTCAGCTTGATAAAGGAAAGAAAATATTCCCTGGAGGGGAGTATGTGTGTGAAACACTCTAAATGTACTCTTCTGCAAGTAGTGAAACCAAGAGAGCTCTTTTCCCTGCTCCCACTGGGAACCGTGTTGGGGGAGAGCTCACCCCAGCGTCTGGTGAAATTAAGGATGTTGCCACGGGAAGAATCTTTAATGCGAGGCCCCAGGAACTCACATAAGGAATGATAGAAAAGACTGTGCCCAGAAAGCCCAGGAATGAAGTATCAATAACTTTAGTCCTTAAGCCCTTTGGGCTGGTAGAATGATACATTCTCACTGTAGACTTGTCTAAAGGAGGTTAAATGCCCTAACTCAGCTTAAAAAGCAGAACTACTTTTGCCTTCAAGTATTTTTTGAGAGAAATACTAGCTGCTTTTACAGCTGATAAACACTAGACTTGGAATGCAATTTGTTCACAGGCTCTGATGTGAACCTGAGGAATGACCAGCATGATGTTCATGAATAACCCAAAACTTAAAGGAAAAAAAAAAGAAGAAAACAAAAAGAAAAAAAAAAAAAACCCAAACAAACAAAAAAACCCAAACCCAAAACCAAAAAGGTTTTATTCTGCTTTGCAGTATTTAACCATTCTCATACCTGGAATCTCATTATTGAGCTGCATTCCCTTCCAGCTACTGAAAACCTGCAAGACAGAATTCTGGAAAGACCTGCAGTAGACAATAAAAAAATTAAATACATAATTTTTTTAGTATTACAATTCCCTGAATATGATCTGTACATACTTTTTACTGGCCTACACAGCATACACACACATATGCATCATCTCTGTGTTGAAAAAGGAAATAAAACCGCCAGCTCCCCAACTCTTACAGAAATGTTCAAGATTTTTCTTGATGGAAATTGAACATGACAACATGCAGCCTGAAAACAACAAAAGCCATACAAGTATCTGAAGACAACTTTTGTCTTAACAAGCTCATGAAATAGTTGAAACATTGCATGTAAAAAAATTAGTAAGCAGAGTTAGTCTGAGTGTGAGTTGTACAAGCACAGCCTTGTACATCTGACAAAAGGCATATTTACATTTAAAGAGAAATTTCATGTCTCCAGAGTCTGTCAGGCTAGTAATGTCTACACATTTTCTGTATTTTAGCTGAGAAAGAGCACACTAGTCTTAGGTTCTGGCTCCTTTCAAAAAATGGCCTAATTACCCATCTGAACATTAGACCACACTTTATTAGTAGGTCTGACATTCTATTTGGCAGTTTCCATACACTTTTTGGCTTCATTTTAGAAAACATACTATTAAGACTAATTAAAAAAAAAAATAAAAAAATCTACGTTTACAATAAGGTCTGTATTGATGAAAATGCAAAGTCATAGTTTACCTCAGCATTTAGTTGCCCTGAAGCACTTGGGTACCATGACCATCAATGACTGACAGGCCAATCTCAAGCACCTTAGAACAGGTATACAAAGACAAGCAACAAAGAAAGAAACAAACTTTTAAAAAACCCAACCAACCAACCAAAAAAAAAAAAAAAGACAGTAGCTTTGCATTTTCTTTGTTTTAAACCAACGGAGTTAAAGTGATTTCTTTAGTAAGACTTATGGTACCAGTATATAAATTAGCATCTTCGTTAAGAAAGTTCTTCACATTTAAACTGAAGTTGAGTAGCTGAATATGAAATTCCATCTCTAGGTGAGAAGTGTTTTTCAGGCCAGGTCGTCCATGTTAAGGTCAGGAAGAGGCTCTCTCCAGTAGCAAAAGGAGCTGAATTCTGGGCATGGAAATGCAGAACTCTGTTCTTTATTAAGCAGTGGGAACACATATTCCACAAGCTCACTTAGTCTGTAATACCTATATTAAAAAAGAAGAAAGACTGTTATTTAACAGTCTAGTCACTGTTCAGCTGTTGCCAAAAAGGAGCTTTAGAAGTCTAGACCAGAAAGCTATAGCTGAATATAGTCAAATAAGGCACCACTTCTGACAGTTTACTTTTCTTGAAAAGTTTCAGTTAAGTATCCAAAGCTACAAGATTTTCACATGTCATATGTAACAGGAGATTGAATCATCATGGTCACAAATGCAATTATTCTGTAATCTCATTTCTAAATACTTTCTTTAGCTGAAATAATAAAAGTGATCTTACGAAGATTTGTTTCCCTTAGTCCGTTCTTGGATCAGTTCACCCTTTGGATTCACAGTAAATATTCTGCAGTCTGGAACTCCCACTTGCATGTAGGCATACACATCCTGCAAAAAGCATGAACAAAAGCACATGCTTCAGGATTTCCTCATTGAATGCAATATAACAAACAAAAAAAGCTGATCCTAAAAGCTTATGGTAAAACTGCCCCTTAAACACCCCCCCCAACAACAGCCAAAAAACCCAAAACAAACAAAAAACCACCAAACATACACACACCAGAACAAAATATTCCCTCTGCCCCAAAATGCTTAATTCGTATTCCCACGCCTGGGACCACAAACACACACAAAATCTGTACCACACAATACCATTTCTTGTGACAACATTCTTCTTACAATACCCTCTCTCTCTCTCTAGCTTAATTAATTACAATAGCATTGAGCTGCAGAGAAAATACAGGAACTGTAGGATAGGAAAAGGGATTCAAGACCGAGGAGCACTGAATTAATATCCTTAGGTTAGAAAGTTGCCAAAACTGCTGAAAAAGAATATGGAAAAGTATCATATATTTAGTAAAATTCTAAGAGTATGAACACATCTTTGTAACCTTTCTCATACAAGCAGTTCTAGCAGCTTTTATTTAAGGTATCTGCATGTGGGTTTTCCTGACCAGACCCCTAAAAGCACCAAGTGTCCCATTTCCTTATTAAAATTTAAATAAACACAAAAAGAAAAGCCTATTTCTTTTGCTTCCCAAGTACTTCATGCATTTTAACCCTTCAATTAGAAAGGGGCAGACTTACATTGGGCCTGTTTCCAAAAGCAGCATAGAAAGGCTGTTTACTGGGAGCAAACAAATTCTTGATATCATTCAAACATTCGATTTTGAACTTTTCAGGCTTCTTTTCTATCACTTCCCTAAAATAAAATTTCAACAGTTAAATTCTAAATCATGACTTGATAGAGGATATCATCCTTCCCCCATTTATCCAGTATTTATATTCCCATTGCTTCTTGTTGGTAGCATTGCTAGTTATATAGACATTGGTCAGTAGTTTTTAAAGAATGATGCAAGAGACAATAAAATATTCGCTGTTTTCCAACATCCATAGTACAAAATAGGTAAATAACCTGTTCATCGGCTAAGTAAATGGGATGAAATTCCCATCTGTGAATGCCATTTGTGAACTGCTTTTGCTGTAGATGACTATCTGAACCAGAGGACCTAATCAAGTACACATAAGCTTGTTACAACTCCTGTCTCTGACAACAGAATGCAGAAGGCCAGTTAGTGAACCCAATGGAAGTTGCTGTCATTGCTAGCCATGAATCAGGTGTTGTTACGGGAAAAAAAAAGCAAAATCAAAGAGACTTTTCCCCTATTAGCTCTTCCCATCAACAGGGTAGACTATGGCTGGTTCAAAAGAGCAACCAAGTTGAACCACAGCTAAACTCCATATTGCTTTTTAAGTAGTCATATATGAAGCACTCCTGATATCACAAGATCATTTAGTATGACAGTCTATACTCCCCACCCTTTTTTCTTTTCCCTCTACCTGACACAGTAGCACTGCATTACAATCTTTGCAGCTATACTTGAAAAGACAGAATTTTACTGATATAAATAGAAACTAATATTAATCAGTCATGGACTGGAGGAATGAAAAAACAGGAAAATGAGCTGTTTTGCTGTTTTATGACTGACATTTTGTGTCTTGTAGCCACTTCTCACATGCCTACAGAAACAGAAGTATACTAAAACTGAAATTCAGACAAAATAAATAGCTTATAAATGATCACTAGGGGGACATCAAGTCTCAGCAGCCAATCTAGCACAGTGTTAAGTCTGGTTCCAGCTGTAATTGTTAGCATGCCAAATCTTTTTAATCTGCTTTTTTCTCTGAAGTGGGGAGGGAATGGACATATGAAATCCCACATGCTTACCTATGAAAGGCAGAAAACAAACTGCTAGGGGACAACATGAGAGGGCCCCTGGGGAGAATTGTTCCTTTGTCATTCACCCAATGTAGGTATCCTCTGGTCATATCTGCCATCCCAATGGCACGGGCGGAACAGTACAGAAACTTGTAGCCATTTCTAGAAAAGAAATAACAACTTAGGTTATTATCAGAATTTGTAGCACAGAGTGAAGGATGGTTAGCAAGAAATATTCATCAAGCCCCTAAAGTTTTCCTGTAGACTTTGCTGGTTCATTTGCTACACAGATTTGTACACAGTTACTGCATACACAAAAGGCTTGATTCAATTTGGCAAATAATTCCAGAATCACTCTTCTGTTATGCGCAAAGAAAAAAGTATAGGTTATCTCCCGTGGACTGCAACGGACCACAGACAAAATTTAGTCAGAGAATGAAGGCCACCAATCGTTGTGGATTCTAAAACCCAAATAGTTTTGTGGAAAGAAAGACTACTACACTTTTAAGTAGATCATGAAGTGTTTAATAGTTGATCATCCTGTGATCCTCCTCAATAATAAGTATTATTTTTGGCATCACATCACTACACTTCTGGAAAAAAGTCTGCTAAGCAAAGGACCAAATCTGAAATGGGAGGAAGTATGTAGGTTTAAGTTACCGGACATAAATATTGTAAGGCTATATACCTCTTTGATGAACACTACATTTATGTAAGGATGCAGTTTGTAACACTTCTGAACTGAGCAAACACCTCACCACTGCTGCAAAAGGGAAGGTACATGGGCTGCTTCTGTAGGTTTTTGCACATCACAAGGTCAGCCCATTCAGTTGACTAACCCAGAGAGGTAAGACGAAATTGACATTTTGCTGAATTACCTTTCTATTGAACTGTGTCAGCTTATGTCAGAAGCACAAAGTGACAGAAAACTTGAGCCAGGCCACCAACCTTCCTTTTGTGGCAGTGACAAGTTGTCAGTTACGCTTATGTCAGAACAAAATCTATCCTAAGGAGCATTCACTTGAGTTTGGTAGCAAACACGTTAAAACATAAAATATTTATGTATTGGAAGGACATAGTTTAGGTTTGAATTTACACTGTTCCATGTTCGTAATAGGCTTTGTGATCAACTCAAGTTGGTGGAAATGCACATACGCATGAGTGACTGAATTATTGCTATTATGGTTCTCTTTTGTAGTCACAATATTACGGTTTTTATGAACTAAAATGCTCAATCAAACATTTGAGAAGGGAACTAGTGAAAGTTGTGGCTTCCATTCCTGTAAAAATACACACCTGAGAAAACAACTTAGTTTTGATAGTAAATGACAGAAGTAGCTCACTTCCCAGCATTTAGACCAAAAATTGTAGTAAATTGCATAATTATTAACAACAATCCAATTACCTGCCCATTAATTCCTGGATTCCAGAAAACCCTGAATGTTTCATAGATTACATACTTACTCATTTATGGAATGATAGAGTTTTGCAATGCCCTGATGAGTCCAGTCCTTGCCAAGATGAGGGAGGATATGTCCTAAAGCATCAGACCTAAAAGTGAAATCAGATAGCTGATGCTAAGGATCTGAGTTTTGGTAAAGACAACCACTAATGAATATCATAATGAGTATTTACAGAAGTATCTCTGCAGAAGGTCCTAATGATTTTAAAAGAGAATTAGTAACTACTCCAGACAGAGCAATTGGTGCAATACAGCACAAGTCAGTTCACAAGTTAACCTGCAGCTGCTAAATCTGGAGAAGTCTAACTGAAAGGGCAGCAGTCACATGATGAACATTATCACCTTTTAAAAGACATTTTCTAGTCTGCTGTAAATGCAAGTACAAATTCAAATCAAAGCAACAAGTTTGGGTTTTTTTCCATGACTGTTAATGAATATTTATTTAGCAGTTTTCTTAAATGAAGTTTCTTTATCTTATTTTGAAGACCAGTATAGGATCAATAAAGCAAGATTTAAAAAAAAAAAAACCCACCAATAATAAAAAAAAAGGATATTTACTTGGTTATTGTTCCATCAATGTCTGATATGATGATTTTATCATTCCAGTTCCAGAGATAAATTGTTCCTGCACAACGGCAAGTCCCTTGATACTGAGTTGTAATACTAAATACAACATCATTAGGGCCATCTCTGAGCTTCAACTTTGCCTTCAGAATAAAACAAAATAATTGAAAATGTAAGTTGCTCTCACTATAAAATTTTTATAATCATAAATGAGCTGCAGAAAATGGCTCATATGCTGTTCCTCGTCCATTTTGATTAACTCATCAAAAAGTAAACCATGATTTAATGCTGACACAGCTTTGCTGTCAAGGTCTGTTTTGTAGTCTGGACACATGTATTTGTCCATAGCTCCTATATCTGCTTACAGCAGCAGTTATTTAAATCTCTGCTACTGTAATTCTTGGTATTGCAGGAGACTTAGAGTACTATCAAATGGAACTCCCAGTTTGCTATAGCATGCAACAGTATCTTCTACTTAGTGGATGCTTTCCTCAAAATTCTTCCCTGATAAAGATCATCCATTTAGACAGTAGCAGAACTAACCTGTAAGTTAGACTGAAATGAATAAACTGCATACAATTTCAAATGTACATTATTAGACTGTTCAGATCCCAGAATATCCAAATGGCAGAAGCCAAAAATGTCACTTTTTGCAACATCTTTATATAGAAGTTTGGTTATAGAACTTTGGATTAAAAAAACCAAATAACTTCTTATAAACACAGATTCTTAAAACACACAACAGAAAAAGACTAATCTAAAATTCCCTGCAGCTGCTCACACGAGCATAGGAAAATACTTTAAATTTCTTTTCAAATTTTAAATTTATCCATTCCTTTTTGCTACTGCTAGAAAAGTAACACAAAGATTTTTTACTTTGTTAGATGTACTTACATGTCTCTTCTAAAGAAATTAAAAAAACCCAAACCACGAAAAAGCACAACTCTTACAATGAGAGTGAAGTTATGAAGCATCCTATGTAAAAGAAAGTCATGCCACTCACTATTTGGTCCGAAGACAGTCTAAGTGACTTCTTATAAGATGTAATGTTCCCATGGGTTGGATGCTCTACTGGGGGAGAATCTATTTTCAGGGATTCCTTCAACTCCTGTGATGCTTCATCACTAGAAGAGTCATCTTCTGGAGGTCTAACATGACATTAACCAGAATGAACGTAAGCTACAGAAAATCCTTCTTTAATAGTTTAAGATTCCTATGCAAGACTAATTTCTGCTTATGCTGAGGATTTGCAGCTAGCCTAATAGCACAGATTAACAAAGTCCATGGTCTAGTGAATGCCCAGATAAAGCTAGTATATGCCAATAAGCAAGTGAGACTCGTAAGGCATGCTAGTATTGGTGGAGCTCTAAATGTCACTATTACTACCTGGCTCCACACATGATGGGTTTAGTAAAGACAAAGTGTCAAGTGGTCACTAATACTGTGTTGATGAATTAGGTAAACTGCAGGTGAAAAGGCATACTGAATGAGTAACAGTGTTTTGTTCTTTAAAAAAGCTGCCACAGTTACTACATAGTTTAAACTGTGGGTGATAAGTTAGCCCAGTAGCTCACCTTTTAAGGTTATTCACAGACTTATTTTTTCTGCTGATTAGAGATTTCAAGATTAAAAGCAGCATTTAATTTCTCTGAAGCATTAAATCACAATCTATTTAGTTTTTTTAAATCCTTCAGACACCAACAACATTCACTAGTATCTTCATAAAATCATGGGAAGATATGAATATGCACAAGAAATTACCTAAACTGGGACAGTTTTGAGCTAAATACTGTTAACTATCAACCACAATCTTGGGCAACTTGTGCACTGTAATTAATACTATTTTATTGTTTCAATTATTTTATGTTACAAAAAATTGCACATGGTTTATATTATTCACACAATATTAGGCTTTTACAAGGGAAAAAAAAAAAGAACAACAAACAGTATCTATCTCAGAAACAATACCACTGTATTTACAGAGTAGTGCCCCACTGCTGAAGGTTACCATATATGTCTTGTTGTTCTGTCAGTTATGTTACTATTTAAAAAGTAAACACAATAGGATTTAGGAAATAATTGTAGTGCATTTGTAGTTCCTACAATGTTTGCTGCCACACTATTTTGCTGAATTGTTTGCTAAGCACGTTTGGCTCCTCTTCAGTAGTTTAGAGGAAAATGAATTCTTCATTAAAAAAGAAAAAAAGAAAAAAAAAAAAGACACTATTCAGTCCACTAAATAGTCTTCAGGCAGGAACACACCTACTATTAACTTGCTCTTTTATAGTTGCTGGCAGTTCGTTTGCTCTTTGCGCCTCAGTTTTCCCCTCTTTTGCCTCTGGTATCTAAAGCAACATGATAATAAAAACCATATAAACATTTTAAGTATTTTAAGCTGATCCAAGTGAATTTACAGTTCACACTTCAGCAAATAGATATCAATATAGTACATAAACTTTATTAAGTCTCAGAATTGCTCATTCCGTAGATTATTTAATACAAGGATGCTTATGTAGAAATAATCCATTAAAGCTTTTTTTTTCAATTTCAGGAAACAAAGCTCTGCACGCCAGCAGTTGAAACTGCTAGTTTAACATGATGAATTTAGCATTAAAGGAGCTGTCAACCTCTAAGCTTGTAAGATTCACTTGGGGGTGGGGAGGGGAGCAAATTTAAGGAACAAACTTAAGGTTTAGAAAGCCCAAGTCTAAAATGGGATGTCTCAGCATAACATCTATTATGCAGTACAGCACCTACTTATTTATTTGCATGTACATTCCTAAAACACACTGCAGTGACTGAGGAGTAGCTCTAACAATAGCTTATACCTTAGAAGAAAGAATTTTAAGTGTATAGTGCAACAGCCGAATACAATAAATTCTGTTGAAGCAACTGGTAATAGCAAATAAAGGTGTGGCATTATATAAAGCCCAAATATACAGAAGCAGCTACAGCCACTGCAATACTGAGTAACTTTCAGCTGGCTATGTAATCAGCATTCTGAAGTATTTCTGACAAATCACCATCTTTTAACAGCTAAGGAAAGAAAAAAAAGAACCCAGGTAAGTCTCAGTTACCTGTTTAGTCATGCTTTCTCTCTTGCGCCAGAACCACCACCTTCCAGACTTCTTTGGCATCTTTTCTTTGACCCAAGACTCAACAGTAGCCTGAAAAATTAGGCATGTTTTTAATTTGTATAGAAAAACAAAATAAAGAGATAATCATATGTTACTACATACAGTATCTTAAAAGGATTATACCGGTATCTACTTACCTTAGGCAAGCTCTTCTGAAACACCTGCAGACTCAGGATCATTGGAGCAGCCAATGCCCAGTTATAATACCTGTTTCAAAATATGTTATTGTTAAGATATTACAAAACCTGACCAAAGGTCAATAAATATCAGTATACAAACTACCCTTTTGTTGATAAAAATATGTATTTACTGCCAACAACTAAAGTTTTCTGCAAGCAGAGTTATTTTAATATATACCATTCAATATTAGTGGAATTGCTGGAAAAAAAAAAACCAAACAAAAACAAACCCGAAAAAAAATCCCTCACTTCAGTTAAAGCTAAATTTAACGCAAATCTTTAGTTCAAAATAATTCACTTTGAGACTGAGAAACAGATTCATCAAAAAAACAAACTGCAACGGAAGCTGAGAAATGCACTCACTTTAAGGGGTAGATTTTAAATGAGGTCTTATTTGATCTAATTACATGAAACAGAGAATTTACCTGTTATAAATCCGTATTACCAAATTAGGATTGTCTATGAGTCCAGGGTTTTCAGCAAATTCATGATAAGTAATAATATGTTCCATGAATTTTTCTGCAATAGAAACAGATTTTAATTAAAAATTAGAATATAAATCCCAAGATGTCCAATTCATTTGTATCTAGGAAAATACCTTCTGTCATTTCAGAGTCTTTGCTGATCTTGCAACACCATTTCAATATGCTAACTCCTGTCAAGAGTCTTGTGACTTTTTCCTTAGTAAGAGGAAAAGCCTCGTACCACTTCAACAGTCACAGTGATGAGAATTAAGAAATGAGAAGAGGGAAGATGATGAGGAGGTAGCAACTAGTTCAATTCACAGGCTGGAAAGAGAGCCATGCTTGCTGTAAAAATTATTGTGGCAGGTAAATGGCCTACATACTACACTAAAAGGGGGAAGGATGTTGTCAGCTTTTCAGGTTTGTTTAATCACTGAATCCTAATAGCTTCATGACTAGTGACTATACAAGTTTGCAGAAATTCTTATTTAGTGTTAAGACCCCTACAAAGAAGACATAAGTTTTTCAAAGGAAATCCAATACTACCACCACATCACCAAGAGAGCTGTTCTGAGCCTTTATGAATAAGCATTTAATTTCCACTGGATGCATTAGAGACTGGATGACCATAAAAACAGTAATACTAAAAATGTTGCAGTACATGTTCATGAAGATAATGAATACAGTTTCAGTATTAAGATTAACCAGAGCATTAAGAGAAAAGTATCAATTGTAAAAAAATCTAAAGGTTAACAAATATTTAGGACACAAAAAATAGAGCAGAGGAGAAGGTAGCACATCACAATAGTCAGGGTTTTTTAATCTCTTAAAAAAAAAAAATGTTATCAGGCAATTGGAAAGAATATGAGTTGTTCAGATTTATACAGGACTAAGGAAGTAATTGCACCCAGAAAGAATGGTTGGTCGGATATGCAGTACGTAGTGCAAAAAAGGAAACAAAAAGCTTCTCAAGACATCAAATGCTCTTGATTAATTTGGGGTTAAATTCTGCTACCTCTTCTTGGGAATTTTAGAAAATCAAAGATTATCCATTTCCTTTTCTCAACATGAGCATAATAATAGGCCAAAGGTTTGCCAGGCTGAAATGAGAGCATGGAAGCCAAATCATTTAATGGGCTTTATTAGTGGTTACGTTTTAGTCTTTCACGTACCTTTAGAAATCTCTCCATTTTCATTGAGACCTCCACAAAGTGAAAGTGTAACATCAGGCAAGTCCATAGCAGAGTCAGACATGCACTCTGTACCACTGTCAGCAGCAGCACTTCCTACTGATTGGGGTGACTGCGAACCGGAAAGGGTATCTGACTCTGTCCACTGTCTGAAGCCTGGATCAGAATCACTAGAAAACAAACACAGAAGTCTATGTTTTCCTTAAGCATTTCACTTAAAAAAAAAAAAAAAAAAAAAACAAAACAAAACAGAAGACATAGTTGCAAAAGCTATTTTCCTACAGCATGTGAAGAATTTCTTGCTGTTGCATTTCTTTTTAGTGCTACACCATTTTACAACACAAATTTAAAACCAACCAACCAAAAACCAGACACAAGCACACCCCCGCAACCCTTCATAATACTGGCAGATTGACAGTTTCCAGTTCTCCTAACATTCCCTTAAATAGGGAAATAATTATATTTATCTTGCCTGAAACAAAACTGGATTTAAATAAGAAAAAGCTCCTTTACGTTCTATTTTTGCAGAACAATACTGTGCTCCTCAATCTTTACCAGAAAGTTGTAGAATAAGAATAAAAGGAAAAAGGACACTGCTTGATGTTTTTAAAACACTCTGCTTGGAAGAAGTACAACAGAAAACAAAGGTGGTCTTTTAAAGAAAAAAAAAGAAAAAAAAAAGAAAAAAAATCAGTCATCTAACGTTAGTTATTAGTTTGATCCCAAGTAAAGTAATAAGTACTGAAAAACTTACAATTTTAGTTTTAACATAAACCAATAGACACTTCTTCCTTATCAAGCTGTATATTTACAAAGGTCTGTCTTTGTAAAAAGTTACTTGTAAAAGTTGTTCTTTTTTGAGAGCATTTTAGGAGTATAAAATGCTTCAATTTCATTAAAGGAAACCAAACAAGTGAATTTTGAGACTGCGCAGCCTTGCATAAAGACTTTGTGGAATTTTTTTATGTTGGGACATTTTTGATATTAAAAAAGAAAAAAAAAGAAGTTAGAAGGGATGTACAAGGAATGCAATTAAAAAAATTTATGTGTGCTTATCTAGAGCTAGCAATATAGCAAAAGAGAGTACTAGTGGAAAGGTAATGTGCAGTTTAAACTTACTCCCCCTCTATGTTTGCAGAACATACAAGTTCTACAAAGATGAAGACTCTCAGTAATGACCTCACACATAGTCTTTAAATGTGTTTCTTGTCAAATCAGAAAGAGATTTTCACAATGGGAAATAAACAAATACCTAAATGATACCTATATAACAGTAAGTCACATAGTGCAACTGCAATATAACCCCAGGCCCATAGACTCTTAGTTCAAAATTACCTTTTGGGAAAGTAGAGTGCCGCAACTTCAGGTTCCAAAGCCTTTAGGTCCTCCAAGTAAATATCATCAGGCCCCTGATGATGACTTCGTTTGTGCACCCCTGTTAATTTCAACAATTAAGATTACTCAGATGAAGCTATCCAGACACATTAAATACAAACATATTTGTGGATGATTCAGACTTACTTGTGGCATTTATAAATCCAAGAGCTTAATTATAGTTTTATATATAGTTTTAATCAGATAAGACTTTAAATAGGAAAAATTGAAAAGGCATATTTATATTTTTCCCACTATGGCCTTAAATTTAGTAGATTATACTGAAAGAAAGAATCAATAGCTTTATTATATACCTTTCTTTTTTGAAGGAGAGTCAGTTTTTGCTGTTGGCTTTGTTTCTGGTAAAGGGTCCACCAACAGTCTGGAATGATGATCAGCATCTAATGGAAATGGGTCTTGCGGTTCTGTGATTGCAGAAGCAAGAGAATCTTTAACATCCACCTGCTTAAGCAGAGGATGAGTTCTTGGCTCAGGTTTCAGCACTGTACAGACAGAATCTTTCACATCATCATCATCTTCAACTTCATCAGAGCTGAGGATGACCCTAAAATGAGTCTTCTCTGATGGAGTAATGGTAGCTGTTCTGGGATGATCCAGTTTCTCTTTCTTGCTTATCTGAAAAACAAAACTCTACTCAAATCCTCTCATTTCACGTATTTGTTTTATTCTGGTCTAAACATTAAACTTGTACTCCTGGTACAAGTCCTGGTGACAAGTAACCTGGGTAAGAATGCAAACATGTATTTTAGCAACATAAACTATGTCTCACCTAATTAGTAAAGTTCCCTGCAATAAAAGCTTCATACTAGCTTATTAACAAGTCCAGTAAAGAAACAGGCATAGAGGAAGTGCTGACTTGATCAAAACAAAGAACAGCAAAAAAACCCCATAAATGTGGACATAGAAGGGCTACTGTCACCAGCTGTTAGATACAAATTTACTCTATCAAGGCAACAATTCCTCTGGAATGAACTATAAAATAGCCTAAAACAAAGGAAATTAATTTCTAAAGTTGCTTTCTTCTGTTTCTCACTCAAAATTCAAAAACATCAGATTTTTATCCTGGGTTTTCTGGAATTTGCTGACGAGCTTTTGAACTCCACAAATACGACTATGTGTCAGCCACAAGGGGGTGCTACTTTCCTGTTTCAGACAGCAGCAGCGAATTTCCAAACTTCTCTTAGGACACAATTTTAGATATGCCAAAACTCAGTTCATAAAGTTAGAGACAACACATAAATTTACCTTGGTTGATTCTGGGAATCCTCCCCATGTCCATTCCATGTGAGATTCAGATCTGAGCAAGCTCTCAGCAGGTTTAACTTCTAGTTCTGAATCACTTTTCGGGCAGACTGGCTCAGAGAAAGGGCTAGCAAATCAACAAGAACAAGAAAAAAAAAGTGCTACAGTGTTTAAAATGCATTTGTTGTGCAGCTACTGTTGGTAGAGTTTTCTACAGCTTAACAGAGCTTCAATTATTTGGCAACATGGCAAGAAGCCCAGCAGGGTTTTCAGACAGTAAGAAAATAGGTTAAAACCAAAATCACATTACAGGACTTACATAGCTATCACCCTAACACAGATTCCTCCACTATATCTGCAGTGTAGGTGCAGCTCTCCCCTCAGCCCATGTTCCATTTTCCAAGCAAAACAGAATAAACCAAAAAAGTTTATCTAAAAGTAAGACAGAAATTACCTTTCTTTCCTCTGTAAAAACTTAGCATTTAAGCTTTGTATGCCAAGACTTGAGTAATAAAAATCCTGTAAATCTAACTCACAAATGGACAAAACATCACCAATTCCTGATGCAGGAAAAACAACATTCACAAGATAACTCAGGAGAGGGAAGGGAGATGACCTGAAAACTTCATCCAGATGTATGTGGACTACACAACCTTTTAAAACCCATCCTGTATTTCCTACAGTGGTGATTATCCATAAATCAGAAAACAGACCTCTGAAACTCACTTTACCCAACATTACTTTTAAACCAGAAGAACTGACTGGACAAAATGCTAGAAAAGTGTGATTTTGAAATCATTTTGCTTTTATGATCTTAGGGAGGAAAACTACTTGTTTTGAAGTAGCATTTAGTGTTGAGACAGGTCCAAGTCTATCCTTTAACAGGGCAATTATATTGCATATTACAAAAATGCCACTCTTTACACTTTGACACTCATAGCATATTCTGGGTTGTTTGGGGTTTGTTCATTTTGTTTTAGTTTAAATGTATATATAAACCTCAGTATTTAAATCGAACTGGAGGGACTAGAACTGGACACAGCACACTAGGTGTGACTTGACCAACACTGAATGGGATGATCGCATCTCCATCTCTGCTAGTAACAGCCCTGCAGATGCAGCGCAGGATCCCATTTGCTTTTGTTGCTGCAGCAGCACTCTGCTGACTCATACCCAGTAACCTCTGCAGCTATTTAATTTATGGATTTTTTTTTATTTCCTTTCAAAATTCCTACAAGAATTAGCTATCTAATACAGTATCATATTTGAAACTTCCTGGAGGCTTGTGGAGCCAGGGCTTTGCAGTATCATACGAGACGAAACTCATCACAATTCAGACACTAAGAATCCCTCATATTACTGAGAGACACCAAAAAATCCAAGATACCAGGACATTTAAACATGTCTACAGTGGTGATTCATCATCTCACTGTTAACTTCCAGCTTTCATCACCCAGGGACACAAAAAGGAAATGATTTAGAGATTTATCCCCCTCAGTTCTCTTTTAACAATTTCCTACAGACATTATGTTTTCTGTACTGTTAGAAGGGCTTAAAGAAACACACTGAGAAAATACATGTACATATTTGTTTTCAGGCAGAATATGAACTCATTTTCCCTATATGCCAAATAATTTGTTCTGCCTGTATCACAAGTGAACTGGAAGCCATGCAGAAATACTAACCTATTTCTAAGCCTAATTCTTAATATTCAGCAGTACCTGCAAAAGTTTGAATACAGAACCTGCCTGTTCCACTTCCCCCAAAGTGTAAGTCTTTCATTATCATTCTCAGGGAGAAGTCTTCAGTCAAAAGGTCCACGCTTGTGGTAATAGCCTAGTCATGCTAACATTGCTTGTTAAAACAGGAAGAATGTTGATGTTATCAGGTATCAAATAATTGATGGTTATGCTTTTGACTTTATTATAGTGGGTAGGACAAACAGAATAGTCCTCATTGAAAAGACCTAGTCTATTATCTTTCCCCTAGCTCCTGGCAAGGGTTCTGAAGAGCAAGACAACCAACCTCAACTACAAGTCAGTTAGCTTTACTAGATCTCCAAAAAGGAAGTTATTAAAACCTCCCATTTCTCTTTGACTGCACAATGGCTACATTATACAATCTTTCTTTGGTGGCCTAGGAGACATGATTTCACACAAAATTTCTCTTCTCCTAGATGGCTCATGTGAAAGACAATCCCACACCCAACCACCCTCCCTGAAGAGGGAAAGGAAAATTGCCAAGTTCTCCGTGGTACTGCAATCCATACCACAGAGCTTCCTGTTAAAACAAATAAAAACCCCACAAACCCTCACCCCCCAAAAAAAACCCCAAACAAAACAAACAAAAACCACAACCCAAACTACAAAGAGCAGAGGTATCTCACATGATGCACAAACAAGTTGTTAGGACAGACTACCCTCTAAGTATGTAAACAAGAAAAGAGACATGAATCATATCTCCCAGATACAGCCTGCTAGTCTATGTTAGCTAGAGTTTCATAAACTAAAAAGGAATATCAGCCTCTAAGCTACAATTTTCTAGGTGATATAATCCATGCAACATCATGGCAATCCTCAGGGTCAAACACTGTTGACTGCTTTCCAGCCACAAACCACAAACCTTTGGGGAACATTTGAAGACTACATCTCATCAAGTACAATTGAGGACGTGGTTGTTAACCCAAAAACATACACAGGAACAATGGGATTTCCTGTACAACTGCTTCTGCTCATTAACAAGTTATGCACTGGGGGAATTAGCAGGCACCAAGCATGGTATGGTACATTCAGACTCTGTTGAGAACAGTCTTGGAAACACCCAAAGCAGAGAGAATATACGCACTTCAAAAAGTATTTACTGAAGCTTCATTTTTCCTATTCTGCACTACCGTCTATTGTTCCAGAAGGACACGTATCTGTGCACTGAGCAGCTAACTGCAACAATGGCTTATCAGACAAGGCTCAGCAGTAATCCTCACTGGCACTGTGAATGTATCATCTGCTATGAGGCAGATTCCTCAGTCAAACTGAAAAGCTGTAAAACTAGACACTCACCAAAGAGTTAAGATGAATCAAGATACTGCTCATCATCCTATGTGCTATATATGAGTTCTTCCCTACATCCAAGGTTTGGGAAAAGTACAAAATTTATCTCAAATAGTACTGCATATGGACAGAATGCTTCCTTATGCAAACAGATTAATGTTAAGAGTGGTGAAATCCAAAGGGTGAGGCTTGAAAATTCTAGAAATTGATTGCAAGAGGAACATAATAAAATGAACATCAGAAACTAAAGAGCTTGAACGCATAAACAGAAGTACTAGTCAGTGTAACTGAAAACTGACTGGTGAGCTAGCTGTATTATGTCATTTATAGGAATCCACAATCAACTAATACTGTTGTATCAGAACAGTACAGAACTCCAGTAACTAGCGAATACCCTGTTCTGAAGCAGAATACGATTCATGTTTAGCACCTAGCTTTACCTTGAATAATTTGCATTACTTCACCTGGCAAAATCTTACATACTAAACACTTCTGCTTTATGGCACATCAAGTGTTGCTTATGTGATGGTGAAGGGTGATTCATAGAAAACATAGTAATTTTCCATACACTTAACCCTAAGGAAGTCTTATTAACTCTATTTTCTTTCTTTAATAATGCATTTTAACAAGAAAGGTGTTTGTTTTCTTTTTTTCATTTGAGGAGAAAAAAGAAAGACACAAATATTGTTTAATACATACAGTGGAGACAAAAGTTCCCAAAGTTCCAAGTAAGTATCAAATGCTGCATTTGATATCACGAAAGTTAGGCATGTTTGAAGGGGGCATGGGGGGTTAATTAGGAGGCACATTTCTTTTTTTTTTTTAATAAGTATTCACTATTACACTATGTTCACATTACAAAGTGACTTACTTCTCCCGGGGGGACCAGTCTCCATCGGATAAGGGGTAATGATCCTTTGAGTGATAAATCAAAGATTCTTTTTGTTCTTCACCCTTTGGTGATGAATTTGAGGATCCTCTGTGAAGATACACAAGACATTAAGTCAGCTGTAAGAAATCCAAGTTACTAATTCAGTTAGAAAAGTTACTTACATGTTATTAAAAATCAGAGATAAAAAGAATGTATAGTTTCAAGAATTCGTTTGCAACACACCTTTATATAACCTAAAACATGTATAAAAACTATTATTAATACTCGAATCACTGCAACTTTAAAAAACCACTACTCTTGACACATAGTAATTTAATATCAAAGAATTCAAAATAGCATAAATGATATTACACTATACAGTGAGCTAATATTACTAAAACCCAAAGATGAACATACCAATTTATACATAACCTTTCTAGTACCTCTTTTGAGGTACTGACCTCAGAATTTACCCAAGAGTTTACAAATAAACATAAACTACAGGTATCCAGAAGTACTGCACTTTCCAGAACAGTGGGGTTTTTTTTTGCATTGGAAGTCTACTCAATATCTATAACAAAAGAAAACCCCAAACCAAACCAATGAACAGCAAAACCCACTGAGCAGGCATGCACTCTATTTTACACAGAAGTCCCTTTTGCATATTACCATCGTAGGTACTTCAGATCTTTTTACAGCTTTCTGAATTTAACTCAGTAAATATCTATTCTCAGAATACAACGTGTTTTGAGGTTAGATCAAGGGCATCATGAATATACAGTGGATAGAATACAAGGAAGATAAGCCTGAAATTTAAGTATAAAATGCAATGTACGTTATTTTAAGCCATTAAGAAAGAAGAAAGTATTTTTCTTCCATTAACAACACAGTTGCACTGGACTTGTTTTGGAATGGTAACAGTAATTTCTCTCATGGATGGAGAAAATAAAAGATTTTAACATTATCTATTGTTGTGGTTTAAACCCAGCTGGCAACTAAGTACAATGCAGCTGCTCCCTCGCTTCTGCCTCTCAAGCCCTCTCAGAGTGGGATGGGGAGCAGAACTGAAAAAGAGTTAAAACCCATGGGTTAAGAACAGTTTAATAATTGAAATAAAATATTACAATCATAGAATCAACTAGGTTGGAAAAGACCTTTAAGATCATCAAGTCCAACCTTTACCCTGGGACTGCCAAGACCACCATTAAACCATGTCACAGAGGGCCTCATCTACATGTTTTCTGAACACTTCCATCACCGTCCTGAGCAGCCTGTTCCAATGCCTGATCGCCCTCTCTGTGAAGAAATCTTTACCAATATCCAATCTAAACATCCCGTGGAGCAGCTTGAGGCTGTTACCTCTTGTCCTACTCCTGTTTACTTGGGAAAAGAGACCAACCACTTCCCCCCTCCATCCTCCTTGTGCCCCTCCTTACTGGCAGAGCATAGGAATCTGAAAAGTTCTTGACTAAGCACTGCTTAGCAACAACTAACACACTGGTCTGTTATCAACATTATTCTCATACTATATCCAAAACACAGCACTGTACCAGCTACTAGGAAGAAAACTAACTTTATCCCAGGCAAAACCAAGACATCTATTAAACTTCATAAACATTTAGAATTTACATGCTTACTCAGTACGGCCTATTAGACCCCAAGCAGTTACAGCAGCACCTTATCTGCACAAATCTTTCATTTGCAAGACAGTCTAGACTGTATTAAACACTGAACTCTAAAAATGTCTTCACAGCTCCTCTTCTTAGTCATCAGTAGTATTCTTATGAAACTCACAGATCACAGCCTGACTTGCGATGAGAGCTGCAGAGACTGTATGTCCTTTGTATTTGTAAACCAAGCTAACTACGACAAAAATATTTCATACTATGTTTGTCTGTATGCAGAAAAGAAAGAGATATTCTTTAAAAAAAAAATTACATAAAAAATATTACAGAGGTCCTCAATATTATCACTTCAGAGGAAAGCAAGATGACACACAGGTAGTACTGAACAGATTTTATTTGCATGTGAACCAAATGAGTTCACATGAAGCATCAAAACCATCAAATTTCATCCGTAACTGAACAAATCTGAAGGTTAAAAATCCAAATGCAGTCAAAGACTATTGAAAACTTACAACTTACAACTTCGAGTCATGTTATCGATTCTAGGCTATTTATTTTGCAACATTTGTAAACAGCACTATCACTTCTCATCCTTACCCACTTTATACATGGCTTAAATAAATATGTAAAATTTTAGAGACAGATAACTGTAACAGTCTAGCACTGGAGAAATAATACCCTCAATTTCTGAGTTGTGCACTCTGCAATCTCAGTCCTCCTGCTAAGTCAAGCACCACTAACATACCTAAATCATAGCTAGGAACGACAAAGGACGTGTTTTTTTAAAAAGCTGCATAAATGCTTGGATTTTCCCAAGGAACAGGGAACAGCTTGTTTTCTACTTTATGAGAACAGAAGTAGATAAGACATGATATGTTGGTACCTCTGGCTGAATTTCTGACCTTCCTGTTGGAACATCAGCCTCCCTTTCCCAGTCTCACTTTGAAATCTGAAGCTACATCTAATAACAGTTGGTTATGTTTCCTTTTTTTTTTTTTCTTTCTTTTCTTTTTCAGAGCCATATATTTATAGCTAAGAAAAATCTTGAACCCAAACCAAAACAAGCCTGCTGATATCACCTTACATCCCTACAGGATGTGAAAATAAACCTTATGAAAACAGCGTACTCCTATTGCAACCTATCTTATTTCTTGCCTTAGTACCCTATGTTTTGGCTGTATACAACTACTCCACCAACAGATACACAGCCACAAATGTACTGTCTCTGAGCTTCCATTACTACAGTGTATTTTTTTCACTCCTTGCTAGTGACAAGAAAACAGCATTCTCTTACAAAATGATCTTCCTTTCACATCATAACACTCTTCTCTGCCTGAGAATGCATTTCTACTGCTGTTTCTGGTCATATACAAATATGTAAAAAAAATGTGGCCTTTTCAATCTTTCATTCTAAATGGTACAAAATATAAAACCAGACTAACCTTTACGGAAACACCATGTCTGCTCAGCTATGACTAAACATTTGACATTTCAATCAAACCTACAATTTTTTATTCATCTCTAGTCAAATTAAGATAATTGCTAGAACAGTAGTTTGCATTCTAAACACTGGATGAAAACAGCTATTATTAGGGTGACATTCCTAAATTCTTCATGCATTTGTAATAATTCATTAAAGAATAAACAATTCATGAGTTGTATTTTCTTTCTTCCTGTACTTGATGGTTATTTTTATTTTTGATGGTTTCACTATGACAAGTTATTGTTGTCTTAATACTCTTACACTGAAGGCTGAACAAAGACCTTGCTTTTCTTAAACTGAAAAAAAGAAGAAAAATTTCAAACTAAGCAAAATACCCATCTCCAGACTTAAACAGAGCAATGAATATCTAAGTGACAATTCATTGTCATTAAAATGACAGTGAAAAAATAAGGCAAATGAACAAAGAAAGCCACAAGACATACAAAAACCACTTTAAAATCCAAATTTTCTTTGTTGTGTTTTACGGGTCACAGGTGAGGTAACAGACATTCAATGTTTTTGTTGCACTTATGTCTCTGGTACTTCTTAAATTGAAGACTCCCTTGAAAACTCATACTAAAGCAGAGACAACACTTCTCTACCAGAATGGGCTTAATTGGATTTCATATTCATAACAAAATGGCCAAACTTGAAGGATTCTGAAAGACATGGAAGATAACGGTTTGGAGTTTTCTTTGAGACTATTGAAACATGCATTACTTGCATGGAGGAAAGGCAGAAGTCAAATTCTAAATTTTCAGTGATAACACTGAAAGCAGTCAGCAAGTATCTGACAGTTTACCTGAGGGGTTGAACACTTTTTTCATCATCTGAGCTTATTTCCATTTCAAAAATCTCTTCTGTCCCAGTAGAAGATATCTGATCTTCCTTCCTGCTATCTTGCTTATATTTCTTTCTTCTTCTTTTTTTCTTTTTCACAGAACCTGGGGTGAATACCATCTCTGTTTCCACAGGGTGTGGAATTTCAGAGTTTGCACATGTTCTCTCATTTTCACCTGATTTCAAATGATTGTCAGTGTCTTTAAAAAACTGGTCTTCAGTGGGTATTGGAGATGTTGCCAAATATGCAGGAACTCTTTCCTAAAAAAAAATAAAAGAAGATTTAATTTTTTTTTACTTTGTTTTTTGCATACCAGATAGTTGTTAGCTACAGATTAATTCTTGAATCTATATTCAGACACAAAACCACACAACAAGCCCAGGGGTATGAAGCTGGTATCTAGAAACGAACCAAGTTCACTAGAAGGATTACACAAAGTTCAGAAAAATTAATGTTAGTACTCTTACAGTTTCAGGCATAAAAGATTGATTTTACTAGCAAAAAAACCCAAAACCCAGTCAGTGGAATGTTTCTGAAATTATCTGCCCTTGAGCACACCAGTTCTAAAGGTGTTAATAAAAATAGGCTAATTAAATCCACTGCTGTCTACTTAATTTGAAACAGATTCACAGAATGGCGTAGGTTGAAAGGGACATCTGGAGCTCATCTGGTTCAATCTTTCATTGAAAGTAGGGCCTCAGATTAGGTTATCCAGGGCCTTGTCAAGCCAAATGTTGAGTATTTCCAGTACGGGAGAGTCTATCACTTCCCTAGGCAACCTATTCCTGTCTTGTATTGTTCTTATAGTGAAGGATTTTTCTTATATGTAGCTGGAATTCCCCTCTTTTGCCCCTTCTCTTACCACCAGGCATCCTTGTGAGACAGTGTCTCTGTCTGCCCGGTAACTACCTTGTAGGTATTAAAAGACTGGTTAGATCTTCTCTAGGCTGAACACAGCCAATTTCAGCAGCCTCTTCTTCCTGTATCAACTTCTCCAACCCCCTGATCATCTTGGTGGCTCTCCACTGGACTCCCTCCAATTTTCCATGTCTTTCCTGAACTGGGGAGACCAGATCTTGGTAGATCAAAGCTGTGTTCCAGGTTTGGCCTAACATATTCTAGGGTGAGAGGAACAATCCCACATCCCTCCATCTGCTGTTTGTACCCCTGGTGATGCAGCCTAGGACACGTCTGCCTTCATTGCTGCCACAGTGGCAGCCTTTACAGCAGAAATGCATTTCATCCAGTCAAACCGCAGCCTGTACTGCTGTGTGGGATTCTTCCAACCCGGATGCTAGACTTCACAGGTATCTTGGTTAAACCTTGTGTGAATCTTGTTGGTCTAGTCTTCCAGCCTGCCAAGTTGGCTCTCTGAAATGGCCCTCTTTCTGGCCTGTCTACCTCTCCTCCTAGTTCAATGTTACCCATAAAACTGGTGAAGGTGCAGTCAGTCTTGTCATCCATGTCAGGCATTATCTGTCTAAAGTACCTTTTGAAAAGAAAAACTTGACTATAACTTACATTAAAACCAACAAATAACTTTTAATTACCTGAAGGAGCAATTCAAATGAAGGAAAAACTTTACCAATGGACTGCCTGGGGTTTATTTACATCAAAACAAGAAACTTAAGATATTGACATCTAAACTGAAAGAAACACACTGAGAAGGGAACAAAGTGGAACAAAAGTAGAAGAGAATGGAATTTGCGTAGTGAGGAGAAAGAGAAAGAGTTATGGAGCTCAAATTCAATGTAAGAACAGAACTAATTACAAGATGCCTGTTATTTTACAAGACTCTTGTAGATTATTCAGGAACTACACTGTGATCAGAAACAGCCAAAGCACTGGTACTACTTTTAATGTGTTCAAAGTCTTAACTGCTATTATTTAATATTAATTCAATTTTTCCACTGAGTTGAGTTACGGACATGTTTTGTTCCACATGAAGTACAGAGAAGTGGAGAAAGGAGAGCAAAATACAACTTTATACAGCACTGACGATGCACAGGGATTTTGCATTGTGAAAAACCTCCAAATTAAATTATAGCACATAAAGTTAATATTATATACAATTAGTGATAAATAAGCCAGAATAATAAGAGAAAATTTTAAAAAGTCACAGAGAAGTTAGAAGAAAGCTGGCAAAAAAAATAATGCCTGAAAGTACATTGTAATAGTCCCAATTTACATGAATTGAGGCATGTGGTGTTACTTCTGAACGTTGTCAAGATGTGAAAACAGCAAACACTGACCACTTGAAAGCACTTTTCTGAAGCCATCAGGAACTAGTGACAGCATTAATATTTATACCTTAAGCACAGCTTCAAGAGGTGATCATAAGGAGAAATATTGAGGAAAAAAAATGTCTAGAAGCACTAAATACATATCAGTCCTCTGCAAAACAGAACTCAACCTTCCTTTCTTAGATGTTATGAATCCCTACCCTAAATTACCATTTAGGGTCTTAATGGTTATTTTCACCTTCTACTTTAAATTGTATTTAACTCCTTTCAACATTATGAGCTTCCTCCAATCCTTCACAGTAAACAAGAAGTACCCTAAACTAAAAAGTGGATCAAGCTCATTTCCTTGAAAGACTCTGATTCCTAACAACAATAGGAAGTTAGCACTTCATCTTTTGCTTCACTGAGACAAAGTTTTTTTCCTCTCTCCTCTGCCTATTTTCATTAAACTGTTTGGAACTTTGTATTTAGTACTTCTTTCCTTCTGTCTTGCTGAACTATGCCAACAGATTCAAGAGTTGTCAAAACCAAAGCTCAGGACTGACAAATACTGTGAATTCATAGGTCCCATATCCTTACGAAATCAGAGTGAAAATCAACCATTATTCCTGTTTTTCAGGGGCTTCCCACTTCCAGCTGCAATAGGTTCTTGTGAAATTAATTACTGTATTGTAATACAAGAATTCTCAAATTGAAGAAGTTACTGGTAACTGGAGAAGATTTCACAGATAAAGTTGTGAAAAACTGTGCTAAAAATAAGACAAATTAAAAATATGCCAAAATAGACAACTTTTATTAGTACAGCGATCAGTAGCACAAGCTATAGGAATCTAAGGCAAATACTATTAAAAGGCACTGTAATCCATACAACTGCAGTCAACAAGAACAGATTTACTAAAACAAGGTAAAAAAAGTAAAACATATTCAACAGATCTTTCAAAATGGTCTAAGGAAAAAAAAAAGTAGTTACTTTGTTACCTTTGGTAGCAGAATTGCACAAGGCACCAAGCATCTTGAAGCATACGAAAGTGATGTTACGATTCATGTCACAGAAAATGTAGCTTTCATAAAAGTTACAATATTGGCAACACTATATTAATAATTAACACACTACTCCGCTAATATTGCATTGTAGCCATCTTGAAGCACAAAGCACTTACATTTTCTTCCTCAGTTTCTTGTACAAAGAAAGCTTCCCCATTGTCACCCAGTTTCATATGAAGATCGACAGCATCACCATTAATTTCTATATCAATCTGTGGGAAAAGACAATTTAATGGAAATAATTCATCACAGGGGAAAGCACTGACCTTAAGGCACTCTTATCTCAGAGTAAACTTTGTTCCACTGTATGATCATGCCTCTTTCTCCTCCCTCTGCTTTATCATAATGGTCTTTATTTTCTTAACCTGCAAAATCCATCATGCTCCTAGCAAAGAGCCTAACACCTAGAAGAAAAAAAAAAATCTGAAGACTGAATCTTGTTCAACTAATCTGGAGAAATAGAGGCATAAATAATAATAATTCATCTAGTCTTTATTTCCGTTCATATGTTTAAAGCTCAACTTGAATTGTGGCCTGGTGTGAATATGAAACCTGAATACCAAAAGTTTAAGACGAGAAACTAGAAGCCTGCTGGAGGCAGGCTTTTCGTCAAGGGGATAGAGTTTTGCCACAATTATTTCTGCAACTCAGTTAACCCAGTTAACAGTGTTTCAGATTTTCCTGCTGGTGAGTGTATGGGGATATGACATAGGACCACAACCCTTCTGCAACCATAGCTTTTTCGTCAGAGGAAGAATGCTTTTATTCTCATAAAAATGTACTTTAACTGTTATCAGCATGCTCACTAACAAAAACACTAGCAAGTGGGAAATCAAAACAAAACAAAACAAAAAAGACCAGAAAACTGCTGCTAGCCTGTGTTGTTATGATAAACTTGTAAGTTTAGTGCATGTAACTCTCAGTATGGACTGTAAATAAAAAAAGGCCCTGACATAACCACTCTTTTAGTTGCACTTTAATCTCCTTTTACAAACAAAATATAAAGATGGGGGTAGTTTCCTGCAGTGTCCTGTCACTTCCGAGAAAAGCAGCATATAATCCGTATGGTTTATGATCTGTTTAAATCAATCCACCCTTGGATATCACACCCACAGGCAATACCATCATACACAGTACTCCCTACTGACAGTAATGTAAATTCCCCCCCACAATAGGCCCATTTTTCCATCATATTTACAATTCAATCCAACTCATTCCCTAGGCATGATTACTAAAGCCTACAGAAAGGGGATGGCTGGACAATCCGGTCAGGTAGTGCTACAGTCTCAGACTGTCTGGACAGGGAATTGTACCAGGATCTCTTTCAAACATGCCTGCAAAGGAATGCATTTTCTATTGCATACCAGCCTTGAGCAGAGTTAGCAAGGAGCAATATTTATGATAGGTCACCAACCCTTAAGATACGCTCTATTTGTCCTCCAGACATTCCAAAGAGTTGCTTGCAACGTCAGGGATCAGTTAACTGGCATTAAGCATTTCTTTCCCAGCATACTTAAATAAACAGCAATGTAAACATTTTAAGACTGTGAAGTCTCTATGTTTGTACTATTCTTTCAGCATAGCTCAAGAGTTGTCAAAGCTTTTCTTTCACAGGTTTGGTTGTTTTTTTTTTTGCAGAGTCTTTAGACTACCACCGGAAGTTCCGTTTTCTATTCCAAAACTATCACTCTATACAGCATATATGAGAAACTGCTCTGTATTAGATTAGCCTACTAACTGGGTATGTGGGGGACTGGGGAAGGAAGGAAAGGGGAAGGGGGGAAATAAAGGAATGCACTGATATTCAAAACTTTGGTTTGGCTCACTTTTTGAACTTACCACTTTTTCTTTAGAGCGCAGTACACCAAGCTTCCCAAATCGGACATGAAAAGGAGAACACTGGAATGTACCATCCTGTTGCCGGACCACAATGACATCAATGCATCCTGAAAGGGTGGCCTGATTAATACCTTTGTACAGCTCCTTCACAGTAACCAGCACTTGTCCCGCAAGTTGTCCTACGTAGTTCATAGTCTGAGTCTACAAGAGAGGAAGGCAGAAAAAAAGTAAATAAACTTAAAAATCAAAGTTTTAAAAATCAATTTTATATCAAGTTTACACACTCATGCAACACACTATTTTAAGTGTAAAGAGTTATCTTACCCACTACCTACTTTCCATAGGTTTCTCAAAGTTTTAGTCAAGAGAAAACAAATCTTTTTGCAGTTTTTTTGTGATTGTTCATACTCCAGACATCAGAAATTTGAAAAATAACAACATGTAGTCTAGGTGAAGGAATCTTACAGATGGGAGTAAGGAGCTGAGAACAGAATACAAGAAAAGGAAGATGCATGCAGTAAGATTATGCTATAGTCAAGATTAAAAAAAAAAAAAGCAAACATAGAATCCCTTATCAAACATTCTGCCTACTCCCTTAAAAATACTTAATTGAACAAATGAATTTTGAATGACTGCAAGTCTTTCAGACTAAGAATACAGTGTGAACTATGACTGCCAATAAGAGATGAAGTCCAAAGATTTCTCACAACATCTAAGCTTTAATAGAAAGAGGAGAGAAAACTGTTCTGACAGAAACCTAAGCGCAACCCTTCCTCATTCTGCTGTCTCCTGCCCCCCACCCAAAAGACTGCTAACATGCTCATTTCAAATATATCCAAGCAATCACTTGCCTCTGAAGTTAAGGGTATTATTTGGAAGATCAAAGAGCCACTGCAAAAAAGCAGTAGGCTTAAACTGTAGAAACTCTGTTTTGGGATAATATTCCTGAAAGAAAAAAAAATCTGCAATGAATGTCTATTTCCTAATCTATTTTTATTAGCCCCTGAACACAGCTTAGAGTTTTTTTTAATACCTATAAACAAACCGATATTGCACTGCAAGAGTTTTTCCTCCTGCTACTGCTTTCATTATCTAGGTAATTACTTATTTCTGTTCTGAGACTTCAAAGTCTTCCTTACAGTAACACAGGGTATGCTGCATTCATTCAAAAGGAAACTACTCTTGTAGCATCTAACAGTACCAAATACAATCTTAAACACACAGGAGGTCCAAAACTGCTTTCACAGACATAAGAGCACCTATGGAAGCATTTTTCTTCATCTCAGGCATCTCATGTCTAACATATATTACTTAATCACATTTAGATTTTTGGAAAGAATAAAGAAAAAATAATACTTTCTCTTTACAACACTCAAAAAGGAAGATGGGAGTTTTCCAATATAGATTTTAAACTGTTTTGAAATTATCCACAGAGTTACTGTTAGGTAACATGCTAGAGAATTTACTCCTGTAGCTTTTGTAAAATATGGTTGATGAAGACAGAACAGACTGTCACTGAGTGACTAATGAGATTAGCAGAATGGACTCCCTATCAATGTTAGTGATTAATAAAATTCAATTTCACCTCTAAGAAGTTTTGTGGATAACTATAAAATTGACTGGTTGCTAACGAAATAATAGCTCACCTTTGGGTGAATAAGATACATAACTGGGTGAATAGGGAGAGGTCTCGCTTCAATCTTTCCTCACCTGACCCTCTTAATGAGCTGATGTTAGCTCCCTGGCAAAAGTCTACCTAGTTTTTGTTATCATTGTTTCAGTGGGTTAATAAATTAGATTAGCTCACAAAGACAAACATCAGTCACAAGGAACATGGCAGCACCAGAAAGCTAGATTTAAAAAAAAAAAAAAAAAAAGGAAAAGGCTGGAGCAGGGAACTGAACATCTTTCCTTCTAACAAGTGAGGTATTTGCTGCATCTTATGGAACTGTATCCCAAGATAGAAAGCCAGTAACATCTCTGCTTTATTGTTTCAGCAATTAGTCTTCTCCTACAGTGACAATCATCTTTAGTTTCAATCTCAGGAAAAATTGTCTAACACACAGTCACTATCATTCACAGCTATACCTTGGCTGCTTCCAAGAGAAGTCTATGGTATTGGCTTACTAAGCAAAGTTGATTTCATGTCACCAAGGAGACTGAATTTGTTAAAAAGAAATGCTTGGCATAATCAGTAATAAAGTCCTTAACAGAGCCTCTATTCCATGTATTTCATTTTAGGACTTGAGAAGTGGACATTAGCAAGGAATTCTCTATCATTTCAGTAAGCAACCGTTTAAAAGATCAGAATTTCACACCAACTGCTAAGAACTGAGTTCAGTCGATAAATAATCTAGTTTTCCTCACATACATCCTAATGACAGAAAATCACAAAAAAAACCCCTTAAAAAACTGAAATATTTACCTATTTTTCATATATTCTTGCTTTCATGTAGCAAAAGTTCTCTCTTTATAGATCTCGGTTACATTTCTGTAGCTCACCGCATAGCCGCAAAACATACATAAACCAGAATAACCTCTGATGTGTGAAAAAGTTGTGAACTTTTGAACCTACTATTAAAAACACTTTACAAGGAAAGAAGCTTTTTATGACCCAAGACTTAACACAAACATCATTTTGTATATTGTAAGTAAACAAAATTGTAGATGAGAAACTAGTGTACATTACTGCTTATCAGGTGGTAGTTCAGCTTTCAACGTAAGGGTTCACTTTGTAAGACAAACATGTTATTTAAGAAGGGGCAAACTGTGGTAAGCAAATGATCAAATAGAAATAAAGTGCCACTACATACCTGATAAACAAGAAACGTTGAATTTATCTCGTATGTCAACAGAATTGCAGCTAGGAGATTTTAAAATGGGGGAGAGGGGAATTGCTTTAAGTTTTATTGTATGTTGTTGGAAAACTTGCGGTGAGCAGTACTGAACCTGACTATACAGCTACAGAGAGGAACAGGGTAAAATGTTATTCTGTTAATTCTTGCAAATACAATAGAAATAGCCTGATCACAGAATAGCTAGTAAGACAAAGCATTTCCTTAATAACACTATTTATTTCATGCTTAGTAAGCATTTGTTAAATAACATTGTCCTGAAAGCAGAGAAAAGGAGAAAGCAGTATGACTTCACAAACTGCTAGAAGAACCTAAAAGGCATGCCAATTTCCAGTTCTGCAACTCAAGACAAGTCTGACTGATAAGACAAGCTAAAAAAGGACAATGCAGCAATATTTCACAATACTGTTTAGCTTTAGGTTTTCTTTAGGTTTTATTTATTTTGATATCCAGAGTATATCTATTACTTGAAGCAGTCAAATTCCAGAACTCTGCTAAAGTTAATGTAGCTCACTACTACTTATTCTTCTAGGATAGCAAATTAAAAGGCTACTGATACCTAATACACTAGGTAGTAGTGTATTCTTACAGCTAAATATGTTAATACTACAAAGGTAAGTGCAATGGTAATTGGAACAGTGGAAAGGATCTCTCCATCCTATATCACAAAAAAAGATTTTTTTTCTGGCAAGAAGCCATTACACTGCAAAAGTCAGAAACTGAAACTGCCTTTTTTCTTTTCGTTTGAGAGCAAGCATGAAAGTAAATATAAAATAAGAAAATAAAATACCTAGTTCAGAAGTTTAAGAACTAAACATAAAATTATGTGTCCTCATCTATAATATACTCAAATCAGTTAAACTAAAATTGAGCCTGCACATGTTGGTTGACTTCCTCATGTTACAGCAATGATTAATAGAATGGCTCTCAGAAATAACAATCAAACAGTAATACAGCTCAGATGAAGTATCTAACATGCCCTACATGACAGACAGCCAAATTTTCAAAGCTCATCACCAGGAAATGTTTACATTAACGTAACCTGAGCAGGAGGTTTTGTGGATAGGAATTGTATCTATGTACTATTAATAAAGATTTTATTTTGGTTGCTACAAAACCAGTGTGTTTTCTTGAATGACTTTTAATGTTATTCAGTAATATCCATATACAAGTGTAAGATATAAGCAAAGTCTGTCCACAAATTTGTTTTTCCTGTACATTTAGAGTACTGCTTTAGTAAAAGCAAGCTACATTTTGTGTTCTAAAAGCTAACACCTTTTATACAGGTGCACCCTTATGAACATGAACACCACAAATACCCAATTCAACAAGCAAAAAAGAGCGCAAGTTACTCAAAGACAAGCTGTCAGATTACTCTAAAGACATACAACTTTAGAGGGCATGAATTTTAACTATTACTGCAAGAAAAAATTAGTTAAATGCAGCTCTTAGCTTTTAAGAGGGTAGATGTTTATACATCCCATTTGTTTTAAGATACATTTAGAGGATTAAAAAATAGTCTAATGCCACATGATGTAAACAGTAAATACATTGCATTTGTTTCAAGAGATTATGTGGAAAACAAAATAAAAACATGTATAGCAATTGTTTCCCTCAATTTATCTCATCTTGCCTATACTGGCATGTATACATGAGTTGGGAGTTTTCTTTAACCAGAATAACTGTGAAACAGGACCATGGTACCATCAGGACTACTTGGAAAAAAACAAGCAAACAAAAACATTTTTGCTTCTATGTAAAGATTTTAATATGTGTTTAGGGTTGCTCCTAGTACTGCACAGAGCACTTACGGAACAAAAATGGGAAACAAAGTAAGTCTTTTCAATGCCTAATTAAAGTCTTGCACACGCTATTAAAAATAGGCTGTCAATTTTTATGCATTTTAACTATGCTATAGGAAATTATATACCCATACTTAATAAACCTGTCAAACTCACCAAGATTCCAGAAGGAACCCTTTCACGGGCAGCAACAACTCTTCTACTCAAGTCATCTTCAAAACCATCCTTTTCTGAGAAATGCATCTCAGAAGACAGGAAACTAACTTTCCCCAGTACAGATAAATACAAAGCTTACAGCCATAACAGAATGTTGTATCAGCATTTCTTCCCGTTCCATCAAAGCAGAAGAATTATGTAAATCTTCTGGTCTCAGAGAGAAGTGTTTGGTATACTTTCCCATGCAGTACTAAGATTAAAAAGGAAGCACTTTAAGAAAGATCACGCAGAAACTCCCTCACCAATAGGCTTTGCTTGAAATGTCACAGCCCCCTTGCGCTCTTGGAGATAAGTAATAACATGACCACATTTGCCATATGTTTGCCCTGATAGGTAATGATCTTGTTTTACACCAGGTCACGTGACTTTAGCTGGAGCGCCCATGGAAAGAAACAGGGATTTAGTTAATGATTCTTAAGCAAAGTCCACATTAGCTCACTTGGAGACTTTTTGCCCACTGTTGCAATTCCAGCACCTATAGCAGCATTCAAAGTCCTAGTTGAGCCTGCTGCACATCTAATTCAAGAATGCCTGCTGCCACTTCATGTACCTGCTCCCTTCTCTAACGGCTTCACTGGGCTAGATAGTCCCATTTTATAGGACAAATCTGAACACATTTCAGGGTCTAGTATTTGTGGGCTATTTTCCCCCTTTCTGAAATTGCATTACAACGGTAAAGAGCTAACTGACCTGGTGCCAAGTTTGTATTAAACCATAAAAAAGCCTAATGCTCACAAAAATAAGTAGTTTTTCCTGAGAAATTCTGCTGCTTTCTTTAAACCGAATTGTTAAAGCAGTACAATTTGTGTGTGTGGACAATACACGCATGCTTATTGCATACCTAGCTCCATGACTGAGGACAAGAACCAATTTTCAATCTGAGCAATTCTGAAATGTCATTACTTCTCAAAATAGTGTTGTGGATAGGCGAAATAACTGAGGAAGTGTAGGAGTATAAGGAAATAAGTCTACTCTGAATGTGAAAGACAGTCTCTCAAGACCAGTAATATTCCCGCAGTTTAGACATATTTTCATTAACTTAAACCCAAACATCTCCTCCTCACCCCCAAGGTGTTACTTTGTGTCTGTTACAGAAGATGCTGGAGGAATGCTGCTTAAATTACAATCTAAAAAATAACCTAGGATCCTACTACAACCTTCACTCTATTCTCCTCTAAGTTTTGTACATTTATGTATTAGGCTGTGATGCAAGGACAATGAAACACATTATTTATTAGCTGAAGCCAAAAGGCTTGCAGTTTCCAAAATAATTAAAGAACTACACTCAAGACCAAAACTAAACCAGTCTTGATGACACACTCCTAAATTGAGCGTTGGGATTGATACACCTGCAGTAAGGCTGCAATAAGCTGCTACCACCTCTGGGCCCTTTTCTATACACTGAATGTTTAATGTGGCTCTTCACAAGAAAAATTACTGGTTTTGTTAGCAGACATGACACATATTTTCATAGGATATTAATATTTACTAGACATACTCAATTTCCCTCTGCTTGTTCATCCTTTCTTTATCATGAGTGTTCCGTTAAAATATAGTAAGAACCACACAGTTCTGCTCACAGTTCTGAGCAGAATGGAAGCCAGCTTTGTAAGACAGTGCTGCTTTTCACTTTCTACTTAGCTTTATGCTTGTTGGTTTGTTGGGGTTTTTTTGTGTACAATATTCTATCTATTCTATTTCAGTATTGTTCAGTGTTTCAGATTGATATTATTTTCTTCAAAACTTCTAAAAGCATCTTAAAAGACAGACTTTCTACAATACAGACAAAATTGCAGTCACTGCAGTAAGGTAAGATTAAGCCAGGTAATAAGTTTTGCACATTTAGAAAGCCTCCTTGTCTTTTATTTCTCAAAATTAATAAGGTAAATAAAACATAATTCCATCTGAATAAGTTTAAGTTCTACATTATTTGCTTATAATTTACACAGGAAAATTAGTTTTAGTTTTGAAAAGCAAGTAGCCCAATATGGAAGTATCAGAAGCAATGTTTTTCATGCAACCTTAGTCAGCTCTTTGGTGTGAGTAGATTTTACTGTGGTTTAGACTTGGAAAGCACATACAAGTTTTTTCAATAGTTTCATGCAAGTTAATACTGCTGAGAAAGATCAGTCACCATCCTATGCTCTTTTTTTTTCCTCTGTTCTTTGTGGGTCTACACATCACATCGCTCATTAGTCAAAATCCCTGATGGGAAGTATGATTCCATTTTAAGTACTACTTTCCAGTAGTAACCTTCATAATGTATTTGATTGCAATCATTTAGTTTTACAGCAACCCAGAGACACAGTGTTACTTTTTTCAGCTATGCAATGGAAACTCAGGCCAGGAGATTAGAAAGAATGAGACAATTCCTTCTCTAATTAACATATCTAATAGATACAGCAAGTATGGGGCAACATTTAATCATGTCCCTTACGTTTCCTTCACCCAGTCCTGCCCTGTATCATTTTACTGGTCAGCTATGACTTAAGCACCACAGTTCTCTGTCTTCCGCCCCAGACTGACATCAGAAAAGGTCCCTTCTCCTCAAGCCTCAACTCTGATTCCTAAATTCCACCACACTTTCATGCACTTTTAAACACTTTTTCTATTGGGTGCATACAAAGCAAAAGAGTTCCTAATTCTCCTCTAGAGATTATGAAAATCAGACTGGGACTGAAAACACTTTCCTGTGCCCAAGTTCTTGTTCCTAGCCCAGGTCTGAAGCATCTGCTTACTAAAACTGGAAATAAAACTCAGCTCATCCCAGCTTGTGGTAAAATACAGTCAATACACCACCTGCTACTTTTAACTGCGAAAGTCTATCCAAAGCCTAATCCAAAGGCTAGTAACTTTGCCAGATTAAAATAAATGCAGACATGAATGACAGAAGACATACTGAATGAAGACTATTTGCCTCAGATTCCTTATGAAAGGGGCACAAGAATTCTTCTAAGAGAAAACAGCTAGAGCTTTTCCTCCAGTAGAGTGGAAACATACCATCAAGCTTTGTTTCTAATAAAAAAAAAAAAAATGAATAAACTTGATAAAATTTTCCATATAAAGGCTGAAGGTGGCTAATACATAAATTGGAATGAAATTTTCCATTTTAGTAAAGTTATGTGCAACTAAAAACCAAGTTCTCCTCAAAAATGCCAAAAAAAGACTAAAGGGCAATTACCTGCTTTTACCTGCTTTACTCCAGGCTGTCCAAAAACTAAAAATAATTTAAAAGCCCTATCACAAGTAATAGTAGAATCCAAGTACAAGAATCCAAAAAGTTAATAGATGTTAGAAAACACAAGTGATACAAAAGCAGTTCATTGCCCACTAAACTGGTGGTGAAAAAATGTGTAAAAATCAAATGTCTAGTTCTCCACCTAAGATACAAGATGGTATATTCAACGCTTTCAAGATTTCCTGTCAGGTGTAGTCAGGAGCCCTTAAAATTAGGATATTTTTTTCAGGGCAGCTTAAGTGGTTTTTTTAATCTCCAAGGGTGGGGGTAGAAGAGATAGCAAGACAAGAAATCCAGTTTATTTGGACTTGGTCCTTTTGTAATGGGTCAACAGTTATAGTTGTATGGTCTACGATGAACTATCCGATTCCAGTATTATAGCACCTTTCCTTCTATTAATCTAAGCATTTTTTTTTATACATATATATATATATATTTTAAGTCACCTTTTTTTCCTGGTTGCAAGGAAACTTCAGCAAGAACGAAGAATACTTCTAAGAGTCCATAAAGTGAATTTTACTGTTAAAATGATCAGTTCAATCAAAAAGTTTGGCTACATGCATACAAAATTTCTGTGTATGTTAAGACCTTAGCTTCTTTCAAGGTACTTAAAAGAAGTAACTGGCTAATCCAAAAGCACAGCACTTTGGAATTTGCATGGGCATATCCCATGCAAGTGCCTGACAGACTTCATGTATCTATTTCCAGCCGCACAGACTCTTCTACTGCCACACAACATCCTTGGTTGAACTTATTTCTAAACACATACCACAGAAACCAAAGTTTCTGAACAGACACTCCACCTATCTCATTTTTACACAAAATGAGAGAAAGCAGATGAAGTTTTTCCTGTATGTTTCTAGAAAGCACTAAGCATTTCCCTAATGAGCAATCCCTTATCTTTCTATTTTCTCCATTTAAAAAGGTTTCTTTCCATCTGCCCCAGGTGTATTTATATTTTCTGATAACCTTCCAGGATTTAGAAGTCAAAGGAAAAGAACATGGTCATGTATTTAAGCATGAAATGCATCTTCATCTACTACTGGTGTATAATTTGGTTACTTTTAGAATACATACATGAATATAAGATCTGAAACTAGTTCATATCTTCAGGTTGACAAGAACAGAAATATAGTTATTCTGAGAAACAGATACATGGAATATCCCCAAAGTTCTAAATATAGTGTATATCAACAAGAAACCTTTTGTTACTTGATAGACTGTCTTTATTGTTGAACTGATGAACATGTACCAAGATAGAACAACATCCATAAATTTGATTTGCATGTAAGACTTGGCTTTTTTATTAGAAAATTGGATAAAAATGCTAGTCTTACAGAATTCCCACACAAAGGTATTTATAGCATGAGATGCTGGGAAAGGGAAAATTATATACAGCTGAGCATAGCAGCATATGCTTACTCATTCACCAAACACAATCTACGTGCATTATTGAGTTTTAATGAACACAGAGATTGCATCTGTCTGAAGGATCTATCTGTTCACCCCCAGCACACAGTAGCACATCTGCGCTATCTATATGGGACATGACAAACCTGCAAAGTAGCCTCGCAAATTTTTTGTGTTAACATGCACACTTTTCATTTGTGGAATGAACAGTTTTAAGTCACCATCTGGTAATTTCTACTTTTTTTTTTAATCGTATTTCAGTTCACAGCACAAACTAAATGTTACTGTCAGCCAGGTGAGAGACAACTACTTTGATTTCTAATGGAATTTCAGTACAATTCATTATTAGAAGTGTTTATTTCAAAGAATCTTGCAAAGAATCCTTTAAGCATTTCCTTTAAAGGGCCCTTCATAACCATCAAACCAGAAGTAGCACACTTCCTGAGGAGACAGTTACGCAGTCTAAAAAAAGACAGGTAAACCTAAAGACATGGCCTAAGACTGGCTTAGCATGTACTGCCTTCAGCCATGCAGACCAACATAAAAATGTCACCTGGTACACTGGAGGCTTTTATATTATTACT